GGAAAAACTTCTTTTTTTTTTTTTTTCCTGGAAATCGATCATCTTCCTTTTTGATTTTTCTCTCTGTTTCCTTCAGTTTCCTTCATCTCTGTTTTCTTTCGTGACGATAAGATAAAAGTGACTTTGTGGGGAGGGTTTAGCTTTTGCGGTTTGACATGGGTCAAACTTTTCGTAAGCTTTTCGATACTTTCTTCGGCAACCAAGAGATGAGGGTACTCTCGATCTTCTCTTTGATTTTTGGCCTCGCTTCTGTATCTGACATGTTTCGATCGTTTACTTTGTGTTCTTCCCCTTTTTTTACTGAATCGCTTGTTACTCTATCTATTGGGTTTAAAGGAATTCATGAAAAGGATTATTCGTGTGATTGGTGCTATCTTCCAAGGAAAATCATGAATTGGTATCTGAATTGAATCACTGATGGTTGCTGCGATGTATTTATATGTTGAGACATACTTGGGTTTTTTGCTTTGCCCTAAATTGATGCAGATAAGACTGTAAAGAATCTATATGGTTATTGAAGTAAACGAGTGAATCTGTTTATATAGCTCAGGGATTTTGTTCTTCTTTCTTCTGTTTTCAAATCGAATGTGCTACTTCAGAGTTTGTTTTTGTTCTTAATTTTCTGTGCTACTTCAGAGTTTGTTTTTGTGGTGTTCTTCTTGATATATGACTAACCTTTGTTGCATGGTTAACTTGATAATGTGCACAATATGATGAACATAGGAGAAGTTTAGATTTGGTGATTTTCTTCTTGTGTTTTCACTTGGAGATGTCAGGTCGTTATGCTTGGGTTGGATGCGGCTGGTAAAACAACGATACTTTACAAGCTGCACTTAGGAGAAGTTCTTTCAACTGTTCCCACAATCGGTAGGTTCAAATTGCCCAAGCATCTAGATTTGGCCTCTGCTCTTTTTTCTGGTTTATTTTACAACTTGACACAATCTGTTTTCTTGCCATATATCTACTATGTACTCCATTAGACAATGCCGGATACTTTTACTGGTTTTCTGAGGATTTTAACTTTCTTACACAGGTTTCAATGTTGAGAAAGTTCAGTACAAGAATGTGATGTTCACAGTTTGGGATGTCGGTGGCCAAGAAAAGCTGAGGCCCTTGTGGAGGCATTACTTCAATAATACCGATGGGCTTGTAAGTCTATACTTTTTTCAGCTTTGCGTGTATTTAGAAAGCTATTCGTAGAGTCTCTTGTCCTCGTTTCGATGCTATTCTCATTTCCGGGTTCTCTAATTCGTTAGAAAAGAATTTCTAGACAGATGGTTTACCTCATGTTGTTTTGGAATACTCTCTGATTTTGATTGGTCGATGCATTTGCAGATATACGCGGTAGACTCCTTGGACAGGGAGAGAATTGGCAAGGCAAAGCAAGAATTTCAGGTTTTACGGTACCTTTAGATAAATTGCACTAGGCTTTTGGTAAAATTAGTCTCTGCAGAGTTTCTAACCTCTGTTAATTGATATCTTCAGGACATCATAAAAGACCCATTCATGCTCAACAGTATCATTCTAGTGTTTGCAAACAAACAAGACATGGTAAACATCAAAGCTTAAGGTTTCCTTATTTGAATTTTTATCTTATCCATACACTCTGATACTAAAATTCTGTGTGAATTTCAGAGAGGAGCCATGTCTCCTCGAGAAGTATGTGAAGGGCTTGGCTTATTAGATCTCAAGAACAGGAAATGGCATATACAAGGTACATGTGCTCTTCAAGGAGATGGGCTCTATGAAGGCTTAGACTGGTTATCCTCCACGCTCAAGGAGTTTAAAGCCGCTGGTTACTAATCGGTTGGTCCTTCGTTTTAACTCACTCCATATGCCCTACTAGGTTAATTGACATACAAAAAGTACCAAAATCAATCCCATGGTGTCTCTCTCTCCACCATTTTATATACTTTTGAACCATGACCAGAGTCTTCTTCTTGGCCTCTCTCATATGGTTATATCACAGAATCAAAATCTCTGAAGACTTTTGTAAAGGAAGTGTTTTTCTTTTCTTTTTTTCTCTTCTTTTCTCCTTTTTTCTAGTTTCCTCTTTTTATTCACATGGTTCTGCTTCTGAAAGCATCAATTAGGCTCCTTTTTGCATCTGAAAGCTATGTTAGCATCAATTAGGCTCCAAACACAAGACTTTTCGCCTTAAATTGTTAAGACTTGAGAGAACAAGACTATTCTACTTGCTCAGCCGCCGTACCAACCCACCACCACCGTCGTGAAGATTAAGGTAATATAAATTCTCTGTAATTACTCTGTTTCACAACTTAATTTCTATTACTCGGAATCCCAGAATTGAAAAAACCTATTTTGGTCTCATGTTTCGTTAAATTTCTTCTCGACCAATCCTCTAATGTTTCTGATGAAAATAATTACCTTTATCAATCAATGGTTCCGAAACAGCTTTGATGAAAAGACCACATTGATTAAAGTTTCTTGGAGTAAATGAAAGTCTGCTTTTTTTATATTGAAGGATGATGGATTTGATGTGGTTAATTGCCTTACTTCTTGGAGCTGCACTTGGATATTACATCAGTACTCTACGACAATCTCGCCGCATCTTTGTCTCTTCCAAATCTATCGGCATAAGTGCGGATTCTAGCGGAAATAAGAAGACTAAGACTAAGGAACCCCTTGAGGTTGAGAAATCCACGTCAAAATGGTTTCTAGCCTTACTCTTAACTATATCTCTCTATGTACTGTATGGATACACAATAAGTTGATATGAATTTTCTTTTTTGTTGTTGTATGTGTAGGTTTTGGTAGTGAGGAATGATCTTAGAATGGGTAAAGGGAAGATTGCAGCTCAATGCAGGTGATTGTCTACTTCGTAACGATTTTCGTTTTCTCTTAGTGTTTCAATCATCTGAACTCTTTGGCTTGCATTATGCAGTCATGCAACATTAGGGTTATACAAAAAGCTCGTTCAACGGGCGCCAAAAGCCTTAAACAGGTACTACAACAAATCCTTTTTTACAGGCTTTGGACAGAATTAAAGGTTCTGTCTGTCTCTATCATACCAAATTTTGATTGCTATTTTAGATGGGAATACTGTGCTCAGCCAAAAGTTGTTGTCAAAATCGAGAGTGAGGAAGAGATGCTAGTTTTGCAAGTGAGTTTACTAAACAAGTGTTATTGCCGAAGATAAACTTCTTGTCCTTCAAAAGCAAAGTCCCTTAAACTGCCAACGCATATCATCATTGATGCCGGAAAAACACAGATCGCTCCGAGTGAGTTTCATAGTTACTGTCATTTGGAAATTCAAGCCTCTCTCAAACTTGGAGTTCTACTTAACCATAGTTTGGAAAAGAAAAAAAGCTAATGTACTTGTTGTGTTCTTTTTTTTCAGATTCAAGGACAGTAATGGCTCTTCTTGGTAAGTTTTTATCATCTATGATCCTTAATAATGTGTTCAAGAACACTAAAATCATATACTTTAGGTACAAGTGCACTAGTTTAATAAAACAGTTACTTGTACAGGACCGGTGGATCTTGTTGATGATGTAACAGGGGGACTAAAGCTTATGTAACAACTCTTGGATTCGATATTACCACACTCTAGCAGAAAGGAGAGTACGTTAATCGGCTCCAACCATTCGAGTTAATGACCCGGGTTTACATGATTTTGTACAATTTACTTACAAGACGATGATCATATGACAGTATTTGTTGTTTATCCCAAACATTACAAGATAGAGAGTCAGTTTTGATGCGTTTGGTTTAATGATTGATTCAGACTCACGCATTAAAGTTTTGCCCTAATGATCAAAACCAACAAAAGACACCTTTCTCTTCAAGCTTTCAAATTTTCATAAAAAATCACATGAAAAACGGTAACATAACACAATGTTTTTCAATGAAGATCACACCTACACACATATACTTCCAAATATATTCGGTTTAAAAAATCACAGAAGCAACAAAAAATAATTCAAACTATATACCTTTCTTCATCATCATCAACCCCAAGCATTATCATATGCAGCAGAAGTAATCGCTTGAACAAACTCATCGAAATCAATACAACCATCACCGTCACGATCTGCTTCTTTAATTATCAAATGCAGCAGAAGTAGATCTGGCTCGACCAGAGCCACGAATTCGGAGAACTCGATCATTCCGCTGTTATTCCGATCTGCATTTTGAATCAGAGTATCGAGTTGGTCTTGACTCGGTTCTAAACCGAGAGATCTTAGAAGTGAGGCTAATTCTAGCTCCGTTAAACTTCCGTCTTTGTTCTGGTCAAATGAACGGAAAATCTCACGGCGTTCTGCTAATTGCTCGTCGCCAAGTTTCGCCGGCGCCGGCGTTGATTTGTCTCCGTCGTCGCTCATGTTTTCTGATCTCGGAGTTGGTTTTTCTAAATTGGTCAAGCTTCGATTTTGATGAACAGCCTTATTGACAAGTCAACGACAGGTGTGTGATAAGAAATTATTTGAGATCTAAAGAAAATTATTGTTGAAACAGTCAACGGTTGTTCGTTGGTGAGAAAGCAAGTCGTGCTATTGTTATAATTATATAATTATAAAATATGTGTTATTGTTTTGATTCATGCTTGAAAGATAATTTTTTACACTTATAACTAGTAACTATTTTAATTTTCTTTAACAACAAAAGTTAACTATGTATTTATTTAATATATGGTCTTTATAAATTTTTTTTAATAATTTCTCCCAACATTATATAAGTAATCTAAAGTTTTTGAAGTAGCATATCCAGACCTTATCAAAAAAAGGCAATTACAAAAATACCATTTTTTGTGTGCAAATTTGCAATAATGTCATTTAGGGGTGTCCATTTACAAAAAAATACCACTAATTATAGATTTATAAAGCCTATATCTTAAAATTCTAAACCCAAAAAAATGTTTCGACATAGAAAACCCTCTAAACACTCAAAACTAAACCCTAATAGAACATAATTAACCCAAACATAAATAATATAAAAAATTTTTTTTTTGAAAAAGTGGCATTTTTATAAAGATTTCAAAAATGTGGCATTTTTGTAAAGTGGCACTTGAAAAGTGGCATTTTTAAAAATTTCTCTATCAAAAATCCCATGCATTAATGGTTTAGTAATAACATGTTTAATAATGTTCAGATCATGCATGAAAATATCTGTTGAATCTATAAATGAAAATATTCTTTTTGTAGGTTTCAAAAATAGATTACAGCAATATAGTTATACATAATTGTAAATATAACAATACTCAAAATCTGATGTAGAG